AAAAAAAGAAAAATCATATTGGATATAACAACCCTCATGCATATCTTTACCATAAAAATTGGTGAAGATAACGTTCTGCTAGAGTTAGCAGAATTCTCTGATGAGATAAGATAGTTCAAAACATCAGTGTTATAGCACTGGATATATGTCATTGATCGCATGTCTATAACGGAGTAGTTCATTTTGAAAATTCTTTTTTAGAGAATTCTATTATCTCTAACAAATAGGCATCTGCATCTATCCTTCCGTCGTGTCTATTTCCTATACCCATGCATCCTAGGCCTCTAAATACTCATGCGCGTATCCATGCTCAGTCAATCCAAAAGACCCGTTTCCATACCCATCTCAAAAAGTTCTGCTCATGGCGATGACCAACCCACGCTTATAGGTAGGCATTTTTCTTCATTCATCAATGATAGCTCATCGGTCATAATTAATGGGCATAATCGCAAATATCTAGTAACAGAACGTTATTCATCAATTTTCCCGAAAAGTGATAATGATATGTCTGTTGCACCCCCTAGAAATTTTCGATAGAGTAACTATCTAAAACAAAGAGAGAGAAATAGAAAAGTTTTTCTGTTGATGTGAGGCAAATCTAAGAATATCGGATCAAACAGAGTCTAACTTTGATTAGGAATGAAAAATCGATTCATCGTTTTTCTTCTTTATTTTGATCTATTAGATGTCTGCACTATTGTGAAAACTGATGATACATCAGCCTTCTGTTAGACGTGATAGTTTACTTTGCTACACTTTTCTATTTATCGATTTTACGTATGTATATTATTTGTATTTTTCTGTTTTATTTGTCGATGTATCGTTAGATATTATGACTATAATTTCGTTGCATACGAAAAGTACGCTAGCGCCCGAATTGTATACGAGCATACCGTAAAAGGTGTTCTTATTGCAATGCTACAACCTGGATAGTTTCTTATTATGAAAGAAAAGTTTCTCGACTATGACCACTTTGAATGACAAGTTTACTTTAAAATGAATATTACTTGAAAAGAGATTTCTGTAGCCTCCTTTTTCCTCAGTCTACTTTGTAGAGATATGATTGCTATTTCCACATAAGAATCGTGATATGACCGTGGGTGTCTTTAAGGAACACAATTTTATACTAAAGAGATTAGTACGAGTTATTTTGTAGAAAGACAGGCTCATCTGAAGTGTAAAAACGAACAAAATTGTTCACTGTCACTCTGTTGATTTCCAAATTGTGTAGAATATATTAGAGAACTAGTAAATAAGCAGATATCTCTTTTTGCATATGCATATCTTTCTGTTCTCTTTTAATTTCTTTTCTATCCAAGCGTTGAGAGGAACAAATTTCTGCACATGGGATATCTAATGCGGAAAGAGGTATCCCTTATTTGCTAGTTCTCTAATAACGGACCGGAATAAGAGAAAAAAAGAAAAGAAAATCTTTATTTGTCGCAGTTCCACTGGTTAGAGACGCACTTCCTTTGAATGCATAAGAAAGAAAACGAAGAAGCGAAAACCCACACGTGTAGACTATGTAGTCTAGTCTATCAGTATAATCTTCATCTTTAATCACAACAAAAAATATACAATCGTTATCGCGTCTTTGCAATAGGAATCTTTGCAAATAAGATCTCTTTCCATATAAGGTATTCCATGTGCAACACATTTTTTTGTCTGAGCGCTTCAATAGAAAAGAAAGAGAACAGAAAGATATGCATGTGCGAAAAGCGATTTGGTAGTTCTCTAATCTATATCTGAGAGTTGTCAACGTGCTCGCATGACACAGATATTCGTTGAATAAAAACTTTGCCCTTTTATTCAATCACTACTACTAGTACTACTACTACTACTACTACTGCTACTACTACTACTACTGTTACTACTACTACTTGTCTCATCTAGCCCATGTTTTACGCAGTAATAAAATTTCTATTTGTAGCATATGATTTATTTCTTAGTAGAATATGCAGGTCTCAAGATAGAAAATAAAACAATTCGAAACGCGTCTGATTATAAATGCGTTCTAGACGCGTGTTTTGATGAGTTAAATGTTCATTATGGACATGTTCAAACGCATTTGCCAGCAACGCTAGCCGAGTCTGAGACATAAAATTTTTATATGAAATGCTCTTTGGAACCAGTTGACGGATATACATTTCTTAGCATTTATGATAAAAAGCGCCACAACAAACTCAAAATACGAGCTAAAATGCCAGTGGCAGACGCCCTGTGATCTCAGGATGTCTTGTTGCTCATTTATAGTCTTTAAACATTCAAAGTTGCTATAGATAATAGTTCATGTCAAGAATCTTATAAAAAAATTATATATAGGAAAAGTCTTATCTTAGTTGTACAGAATATAGACCCAACAATGGATTTAATTTTGCAGTTAAGTTCATCTCTATTCGAAGAAAATCGATTTTGTGTCTTTTCGATAGTTTTAGTTTAGAATATTATGATGGAATACTTTTCCGCTTGTATTCTGAAAGCATAAAGCTTATATCAAAAGTCTTATCAAAATCTTATAAGAATTTTATCGCTACATCCCAATCAAAAAAAAATATCAAGAGAAGGAGTATGATGGAGCACTCTTTTTGGAGAAAAAAGAAAGAAGTAATATCGATAACCCTTTTTTAAGAATTACTTCGCAGTACTCGAAGTGCATGTTCTGAAAAGGAGTACTCCAAAAACTACACTTTTTTTGAAGTGCTCTGCAGTGCCTCGGCTGCACTTTATAAAAAGGAGTGCTCCGAAGCGCTCTTTTTTTGAGGAGTATACTAGACTACTCCAAAAAAAGTACTCTAGAGTGCTCTTAGTGGCTTTTTTCAAAAGGAGTGCTCCGAAAACGGAGTACACTTTCATACTCCTACTTCTGACCTTTTTTTTGACTAGGCAGTACACATTTAGGGCCTCTCTCGTATATAATTTTTTCCTAAGATTTCTGTAAGATCTAATTTTCGCATTTTCGGTCCACTAGGGGCAAGAACTATGAATGAATTATACTTATCACAAAAGAACTTCGAAATTTTCTCTTAGTGAATGATCACCTAACTGTAAAAACATACGAATTTTAAAATTAAATTTTATTTGTTTATTTTTCTAATGGCAAAGAGAAAGAAACACGATTTTTGGATCATCACCAAGTAGGTTAAGAAAAAGAGTAGATACATACTTTGACTGCAACAGATAGGACACATCCCTAAGCGAAATTAGGTAAGAGGTTCCCCGTCAGGTTAGATTCTAACTTCTCAAAAACGAGGTAGAGATTGAGGTGCAATATAATCCTAATCACATTGCTTATGAAAATATCTATAGAAGATTTCACTGTAAGTGGAAAGGGTTTATGATTTATTAACCAATCTCCTATACCCTTTTGAGTTTTCAATTTTTTAAAAATGCTTTTTCAGAATTGGGAAGGGGATTTGAAGAAACTATATTGATGATCAACCAAATAGTAACTGACCGATAGCCCACCAGAACAACAGTTTCGATCTGCTAAAGTGGATGGGGGGGGTGATAAACAATGGAAATTTATTCACTTTTCTGAATGTACAATGCAAAAAAGTGGATGGTACAGCCACTCACTTTTCCGATGTCAAGTTCTACAGTGTCTTGTTGTATTTGCGTTTTTCTTCTATGATGGTGGTATAGCGGTGATGCTCTTAATTACAGCATAAATGCAGAATACTGGAGCTAATAAATAAATTTTTTCAACCCTACTTTTGGTGTATTACCATGTTGCTGTTGGTTTGTTTTGATGTATTTTTATAAAAATAACTTTCAATCCAATTCGACATCTATTTAATAAAAAACTTTAACCATAAAGCTGGTCATTCGGCTGCAAATTTTATAAATTTTTAAGTTTGTTGTTCCGCTGCAAAATACATAAGGCTTAAAAATAGGAGCCTGTTTTAGTCATTTCAGTCGCATGTTGCAGTAAGGACTGAAGACAGACATCTTACCAGTTTACCACTTTGCAGCACTAGATGTCGCTACACCGGCGACGAATTTGCTTGAGAACTTATAAAAGCATTTGCTATATATAGTGTTTATGTTCCTAAAGCAATTGGACTAAGTCAAAGATTATGTTTTATTGTTAATTGTAAAACAGATATGAAGTTGAAAGTAAGATCAAAATGGCACCGTTTGACTGGATGTTTAAAAAATATTTTGTTTGGATGCGCAAGAGAGAGAAAATTATCGCTCTCTGACATGTTTAATAATCCGTTCTGCTAGCTTTTGAATATTATATATCGAACTCTTAGAAAATTATTTCGCCTTTATTTCTCAGGAACATCTTCGTCGCCGCGTATAGTCATTCATATTTTCCTCAAATCTATATAGCTAGCGTCCGAGAGTTTTTCAACCATCTGTTCTGTTAAGATTGTCTATTTCTTAAACGAAGGAATTCTTAATAGCACATAGTTAAAAACGAGTTGAGTCAAATTACAGATAACTGCGGTTTTATTCGATTCATATTCAGTATATCCTTGAACTCAGTAATCAGATCCATAACTTATAATGATGTGTGGCACCAGCGGTCGTCACTTGCCATGGCACTTTGTTTTTTAGATAGGAAAATGTGGAAAATGCACTTTAGATTGACATTGTGATTAAAGTTCCCATTAGAAGCACTGGTCAGATCTAATTCTACTCTTTTCGCAGGAAATAAGCTTATTCTTGAATAAAAGAATATTGTTTGGGACAGCTACTTATTTACGATGAAGCGCATGACTTTCAGCAACTCTCCTTTCTTCTTACAGATATATGGCGTCCTGAGGCAAAGTCCGGTATTAGCACGGTCGCTTACGAGAACGCGCCGTTTAGCATGATCGAATCTATTCAAACAAAGAGGTAAAACATTTTAAATGGAAAATCCGTTAATCCATCTGCAAAAGTTGCTCTTGTTCTGCAATGAAGTTTTTACTTTCCATTCTAGCCTCACCGAAGGGCCTAGAGAGATTCCATCGCTCGTCCATTATTAATTTCCATCGCATATTGATCGGACTATGGATAATCAAATGCCGGATCTAAGTTATTTGACGGATGAAGAACGAAAAATTATTGAAGCGGTGATGATGAGACAAATGGCGGAAGAACGACGCGATGCCGTTGTGTTGCAGTATGTATAGAACAGTACTAAGCTACTGCTATTCTTTCATCTTTCATTATTTCTTGAAGGACAAAAGTGGAAGAAAGTTCCATGCCTGTTGTACCTGGAAGAAAAGCATCGGATCAGAGTAGTCTTGAAACAGGCGTTTGTTGTGAATTATGTTTAAAAACAAAATTTGTCGATGAAAATGCAGCTAGACAATGTGTCATTTGTAAAAAACGTTTTTGTGTAAGATGTGGAGTACGATTAAAAGGTCCTCGAAATCAGGTATATTCTCTATCTATTCTTTCATTTATCCATCTTTATAGTCCAATTTTTCTTTTTTAGACTTATTGGCTATGCAACACATGCAGACACAAACAAGAATTATATTTTTCTAGTTCTCATAATCGTTTTTCATTGGCTTCTACAGGATCAGCATCGCAATTATCAACAACTAATGCACAAGAAAATATTTTATCTGATCACTCTAAAACGAATTGTCCTATATCGAAACAGTATGTTTCTGATTATATTTTATCTCAACCGTTCGATTCAAATCGTCGTTCGTCGATTGTGACATTGAATGAAGAGTCAAAAATTAATGCGATTGAAAATAATATACCTTTCTCGGATGAATTATCATCAGACAAAAAATCTATGACCCATCGTGTACCCGAAACTACTTTTTCTGGGCATCAGCCACTGCCAACATCTAGAAAACTACCAATGTTTAATCAATTTCAACGACAAAAATCATCAATCATGTCTTCCACCCCGTCCAGCACGAATCAAAATGTTGAACAATATAACAACACAACTGACAATGGACAACAGCAACGGTCACGACAAATCGAACGAACGCTTTCGATTGACGCAGAAGAAGAAAATGAAGAGGATCAACAGAAACAGCCACCATTAGATTTTACCTCTGATGAACAACAAATTGCGCTTAGGTCAAGTCCAAAAATATATCGTTCGAATAAAAGTGGTGCTAATAATACGACAGCGAACCAGCGAGAAACACATTATCATCGTTCAGTTCAGCATTATCGTTTATCTGGAGTCCATTCAAATCGAAATCTAAACAAACAACAATCAGCATCAGCATCCTCTAAAACATCTATTCCTAATGTCGGTATAAATCAAACCTCAACAACACCTGCAGAAAAAGAGTCAAGTTCCGATGATAACATTCCATCATCATCAAATTCTAGTTCCGATGTTGATGAACTTGAGAGCGGCAGTACCTGTATTTCTGACAGAGGTATGTAACCACACTATAATATGCGTCTTAGTCATTGTTTCCAGAGCTGTTTTTCAACAGGTTAAACTTTTTGTGCAAAACTATCGTAACAACAATGAGAGAAAAAAAATTTATATAACTACCGCTATTTGTGTCACTAAATTAACAACTACAAATAAATGACTTTGACCTGGGAGTTTTTCTATTTTATTTTAAATGACTTCTAACAGTTGTTAATGCAACCCTATCTGTTTATAATCAGACATTGTCTGTACTTAGAGGTCTACAAATATATAATGATTGTATTTTCTACCTTATCTAAACGTTCCAGGAGTTAATTTGGGCTCACTTAATGAATGGCGTAAAGATCAGATATTGGCTGCCAAATTAGAAAATTTTCTAACAACGGTTAATAAATAGTTTATCGATTACTTTTCTATATATATCTATGCACGCGCACACACATATTTACATGTTATTTTAATTTCTTTGTTTATCCCCATTTATTAAACCCATATTTTTTCTTCTTTTCAATCGTTCGTTGTGCAGTCTCTGCTTTCCTATAAAAAGAACACAACACATAATACATCAACTTTATAGTAGTGCTCGTGGTAGGAAAGATTGTATTGGCTGATATAACTAAACCTGCTAAATGTATTTGTTCTCTTTATTTTTTCTATAGGGAGCGATTTGCTCTCAAGTAAAACTTTTCGATTTCGTCACAGTGAGCCTGTTGTTGTAAAAAGTAATCGTATTCTTGACGTTGCCACATCAGATTCTTCTTTTCCTACATCTTCTTCTTCTCAAACACCGATTATTAATGAACAAGATGATAACAAAAAACTACCTGTAGAAACAATTGTGCAACAGTTACCATCATCATATCATCGATCTGAAAACATTCCTCCATCACGTTCGACACACAATACAGACGCAACGAGAGATCGAAATAACAATAATCATGAACGTTCATCTCTGTTACGTGAATTTCAATGTCATTCATTAGAAGAAAAAGAAATGCCCGATTGGCATTTAGAGGGGACATTAAAAGATTCCGGTATAGACACTGCTAGTTCAAGTACAATATTGAACGCCACTGCTTCCGCCGAACAAAAACAGCAAAAATTACTATTTGCCGATTTTACAACTGCGTCCCGTCGTTTATCAAGCAGTGGAAAATTACAAGGAAATGTTCCCGGTGTTCAGGTGTTCATTCTTTTCCATCCGTCAATATTTGCTCATATCGTTTATTATTGTTGTCTGTAACGTAAATTACATTGTTGTGTGTTGTTGTTATTGTGATACATGTCGGTGTAATTCTTTTGTATAACTCAAAAGCACAATAGTTATCTTGAATTGTTAGTAACTTAACGTGTTTTTGATTGTTTTGGTTATTTTTTGGTAGAATATTAACGTAGTTCTATTGTTTCAGCCTGCCACATGGAAATATGATGATACACAAACATTCCTTATTGGTCACATAACACTCAAAAACTGGGCTCGGGATGAACCAATCTTTAGTGCGCTAGGTATGCTTTTTAACGTTTTATTCTTATTCTAATCTGAAAACGTTTTTTTTTTTCTTCGAAGGGTTAAAAGTACAGGGCGGAATTCATCGTGATAATGACGAAGTCGTTGCTGAAATTACAAAAGTGACATCGAGAAGTATTGCAGACAATTGTGGTCAGTTGAAAGTTGGTAAGTACTTTACAAATTATTAGATAATGTTTATTTGTTGTCATGATATTTATTTTAGGTGATACAGTACTCGAATGGAATGGGAAAAAATTATCAAATCTGAGTTATAGCGATGTTTATGAAATTATTCAAAATTCTGCGCAAGCATCCGAGGTACACATGGTTGTTAAACGACCAGTTAGGTAAGAATTTACAAATTAAAAAATATATTTAGAGAAATGTTTAGTATTATTTTCATTTTTTTTAGATCTTTTAATCAAGACCAAACAACTGAACATGCTTCTCAAGGTAAAGAATTTGTTTTTGCTACGTTATTTGTATTTTTCGTTATCAATGACCAAAGATTTTTATCCCATCTATATTCATCAAAATTTAACGTTTTTTAAACGTTAAAGAGTCTGAATTAAAATTATTCACATATGACTCTCGAGTTGTAGAGAGAGAGAGAGACAGACGACTTTTAAGAAAACTATAAATAATATTTAGCGTCTATGTTGCTGTATTGTCTATGTATAATCAGCAAAACACAGAGAGAGATTATTATAATTATTTTGAAAAATACGTTTTCTCTCATCTTGATTTACATACAGATAGTATTCAAAAACTATCTCGTTCTATTACTCTCATATTGTCGGTATACATCTCCGAATGACACTAACGATGAGATTAATACAGGTACACCGTTTCATTCTTATTTTGTAAATAGGGTATGATATCGTTGAACATATTCTTTGATTTTCGTTTTTTTCGCTCTTATACAAATAATGATTTGTTCATTAAACTCTCAATCGCTCTATCTAAATAGTGCATAAAACTAACAGTGTGTGCAAAGTTCTTTCAATATATTAATTACAATTTTTACTAGTGATTTTTATGTATTGTTATTTTCATTCGACAATATTTTGTAATATTCTTATTAATACCATGGATATTTTGAAAAAATTATCGAAATTTGGTCGAATACTTTCAATAGTTACATTTCATTTTGATTGACGAGTTTTTTGTCTTAAATCAATTTCCTATGCTTTCATTGATGACTTATATAATTCATAAAAAAGAAATAATCACGCTAGTGTAAACAAGTATGAATAGAAAACAAATACATCATAAATAGAAAAAAATTGAATTTCAGCAATAGAATAAGAGATGACTTTGGGCTGTTTCATTTTTTTTTTGTCTAGCATAAATTAGTTTATTTAGTTTTGTACACTGGCTGAACACGATTTGAATGTGTTTAACCGTTTTGGGAAATGTTTGCTTTATGAGTTTTGGGACTAATTTGACTGTTTAACATGATTATTCTTAATTTAATTTGTTTAAACATGATGGAATTTGACGTTGAAAGAAAATTTAATTTTTTGTCATTTTAATTAAGATTTTTTTTTGTTGAGGTTGCATGTTAGTCACTATTGAGTTCTTAATGAGCAGTACGAGTTGAACTCAACACACAGTTTTTGTTCTTTCTTCAATGTTGTTGTGCTCTCTCGACAATTGATGTTGAAAAAGTTATTTATTATACAATAATCGGGTCCTTTTTTTCCCCTATATAAATATCTATCTATCTATATAGTGTGTGTGTGTGCGTATGTGTATGTGTGTAGTAAAAAATGAGGAAAGAAATCTCGTTTTTTTTTCTTTTCTACATTGTACACATCAGTCATGTCAAAAAAATAATTCTTTGTGCAAAATCATGTTAAGGGAAGGAATTTTTGTCTTATTTACTAGCAGAGAAAAAAAATATTTCCTTTCCTTGATCCTTAATACTATTATCAATGACAGCAGTACATGGCACTATAGAATCATGAGCAGTAAAGTAGCAAGTTCTTTAATAATAATATTCAGCTGTCAAACACCTCTATTGAGCATATAGACATTCATACATGTATTCGATGAAAAAAAGAGCGAGAAAAAGAATTGTATGAACTGTACATGCAACAGCTTGGACAAATGTCTCAACTAAATATACATACAATATATAGAAACTATGAAGTAAATCTCTTTCTCTCCCTCTCTATTGTAAACGTCAGCTACCTTTTTCTCGTTCTTTTAAACATCATACTTTTTCTCTCTTGGTCTCAATTTTTTTTAGTGCTCATATGTGTGTGTGTGTGTGTGTATATATTATTATTTTTCTTTTTTTCTCAGAAAATAAAAAATTAAAGGTTGAAATCATAGGTTCATTGTAGACTCACATGTACACGACTAATAATAATAATAATAATAATAATAATAATAATAATAAAATGGTTGTATTTCAAAATGTTATGTTCAATGGTGATGATAATAGTAATAATCTTGCACAAATACATTCGTTTGATCAAAATGAACAACTACACATAGAACAACATCAACAGGGCGTTAAAGATCGTACATCTAATTTATATCGTCTGTGGACAAATACACCACAAAAATTTGTTCGAAATGTAAGACGATTTTCACAACGTTTATCTAATCGTTCTCGACAACAACAGCTACAACGTGATACAATTATATCTAATGATAATCAACATCAACAAACTGTTCAGTTTCATTTACAACAACATCAGTCACAATCACAATTCCCTAATGGAGGAAATTTTCAACAAACACAACGTAAAAATTCATCTGATTCCGATTTATCATTATCAAAATTAGATATAACAGATGAATATTCTACACCCGGTGATTTTATTGATAATAATTCATTAAATACATCGAGACAACCAAGTGAAATAATGAATGCTACAACAAATGATAATCATAGTTTACCATTTTTACTATGGCCATTGAATACATGTAGACAATTATATTATCGTTATCAACAACCATTTCTATTTGGAGGACGACAGAGAACAAAATCAAATACAATAACAATTTCTCAAACAACAACCGATAGCAATATGCGTTTAACGCAATCTTCACCTAAACATACGAGAAATCAAAATCATTATTTATCTGGTCAACGTTTTCCATGTTGTAGTTGGTGTATAAGACGTAATTCACTTGATTCACCATCAATAACGCAAACACAGAAAACAATTTTTTGTTAATAAAGCTTATCTGTAAAGCATCTGTTCTTTTTTATTAGAGATCTCTCAGATTTATTGTTTTTATAAAAAGGTCTTTTGACGAGCATATGCTAGCATATTTGTCACAATTCAAACAATTCAGACCATTTTATAATACTAGACATTCCTTGTGATGTTTTCACCACCATCATCAGCTGTCTACGAACTGTTTCGTACGACTTTCTATTTTGAAAAATGTATTGTCAGTATTGATGCAAAATTGAATAAATTTTCATCGAAAATACTCAAAATCAGTTGCTTTTATGCAGGAAAATACCATGTAATTGTTATACATACCATAAAATTATTTATTTCATAGACTATTAGCAAAAAAAAGTAAGTTTGTGCACATGAATTAACCTTTTCTTCTCTTCAATATCCTATTCATTTTTCTCTTTCTACAGAAAAGATATATTTTTCATTTATGGTACGCTTCCTAAATTTATTTTCTACGTGTGAAGAAATGGTATTGTCGTGTTCATCGAGAAATGAGATCTGAAAAATCGTCTTTTTTTCAGCAAAATAGACAATAACAACTATTAAAGATAACTACTTGACAAATTTATTTATTTTTTTTATAGATCGATCGTCAGATGTCAATAATACATTGCTTAGGCACATTGCTAAAAAGAATACACATCGAGCTCGTCTACATGTATGTTTTTCAAAATCATTTCTTATATCCTAGTCAATAAATTGTTTTATTTTTATCACTTTAGCTTCGCTTTCAATATGATTCGCTACATAAAGAACTGCACATATCTGTGCATGGTGCTAAAGATCTTTTATCTAATGGAGATAACTTCTTTGGCTCTCTTGTTTGTCAATTATCACTACTACAAGGAGGGTATGTTCCATCTCAGTTTATTTCATTATTAATGAAACAATATATGTATATTAAAGCGTATTTCTTTTTACAGTTCGAGAGAGCAAAAATGTACGAAATCCCGTACATGTTCGCCAGAAGGATGTTGTATATGGAATCAACGACTTCGATTTTTTGATGTCGATAATATTGAAACATTGTCAGTACATATTTTAATCGTCGACATAGAGAAAAACAACGAACCAATTGGTGAAGTAAGTTTTTGTCCCGGACTTTGGATGAAGTTAAGTAAATTCTTTTTATTTTAGATATTTATACCGTTGAACAAGGTAAATTTGAATGGATCACCCGAATGGTATCATTTTACTCCAAAATACTCCATAGAACATTTACAACGACATAGTATTGATCAATCAACATTAGTTCGAAGTGATAGTGATGTATCTGAGTTTGACACACGTAAGTTACTTATCATCTAAAATATGTACAAAAATTATTTTCATTTTTTTTATTTAGCGGGTACTTCCAAAACACCGACTACGCTCAATGTACCTACTGCTTTATTGAAAACGAAAACAAGTAATACTGAACAATTTGCAGTAGATAGGTGAGAAAAAAGAAAAGTTTTTACTATTTGGTTTAATTAGTTGAAATTCTTTTTCCTTCTTGTAGTGCTTTGACAAGCAAAAAGCGTCAACTCCCGGTTATTCCATTAGCTGCTCAGCAAGCTAGTCGAGAGAAAGGTGAGAATGGTTACTTATTAAAACTAAAAGTTGTCTATTACTTTCGTTTTTGTTTAGTATCACAAGAATTACTTGAAAAAGCTAAACAAATGAAATTAAAGTTACATTTGAGAGAATTAGACATTAAAGATACAAATGAGGGCGATATAGAAAATATGACTTCCACACACCGACGTTCTTCTATAAATGATAACAATAATGACAATACAGGTCGATATGCGCGTCGATTTAGTAATATGTCAGATGATTTATCATCTAACGTTCAACACGTACCAATTACACAACAACAATCGAGAGCGAAAAGTTTCGATCGGTCAGAATTGGCGCAGCAAAAACGTATGATGTATGAAGAAAGATTGAGACGATTTGATGACGAAGCAAAAAAAATTGAATCTATTGATCAAACTAAACCAGAATCAGAACAAATAGCACATCAGCTACAAACGTATGCCGATACTTTGCCATCTTCTTATCTTCACCGACAGGGAGATGAACCAGAAGGATTATCACGTACATCACCCCGTCCATTTCAATCAAGCAAATCAATTGAATCAGATGTATTACCTAGCATAACTCATACATTACCTTATCGAACTTCGAAAGTATCTGAATCAATGGCTAATTTATCTCAAACAAATATGAAACAACCAACAACAACCACTTTCACAACAGCAGGTTTGAAAGATCGAAAAACATCACGTTTAAAAATACCGATTATGCGCGAAAAAAATTCATCAGCTGTGTCTGAACAATTAGCGTCATTTATAAATTCATCACCAACCTCCATAGCGAAAAAACCACAACGAACGGATATGGAACGCACCAGACTAAAATCGTTTGATGAAAAATATCGCAAAGCTAAGAGAAAAGGTGAGAAGAGAATTATTTTGATTGCAACTAATAAAACTTATTATTATTTTAGATCCATCCGAACCAGGAGATTATGATTCAGATGCATCCGAGCTATCGACAGCGTCAAAGATTAGCTCTGTTAGTATGCTGTCCACACAGTCTGAAAAACCACATAGTAGTCGAAGAATGGGGTAAATATAAATTTTGACATTTCTATTTTGTTTAGCTGATTTTATCCGATATTATTTAAATTTTGCTTATTTTTAGATCGAGTGGAGTAGATAATAATCGACCGAACAAACTGAACGAAGATGAAGTACGTCAGATGGCAAATACTACAATGGATAGTAGTGGTCAAACGTTGTTTTCAACAGCAACGCCACCACCAGCAGCAACATCAACCGATAGTACACGAATATCTCCTTCTTCATCTGTTCCAATCGATGTGCCAGAAAAAAAGGAGAAAATTGATGGAACATTATCAGATTCTGTGTTGAGCACGCAACCTGAAACACAAAAAAAGCGCCGACCGTCAATGTCATCCAAAGCCCTTGTTATTCTAGGATTGTCAAAAAAAAGCAATAGTACATCAACTCTTGGCTATGGTAAAATATAGATAGATATAGAATGAGAGATAAACTTTTAGTCTGATATTTTCGTTTTAGGGAAAAGATTTGGTTTTCAGCGTAGTGAAGAAATTGGTGTTCAACCACATCTAAGAAACAAATTGCTCGTTCGACAAACGAGTAAAGAGAATGAAACTCCAGCTGATAGTCAGACACTACAACAGCCATCACCGGCTCAATCGCAAACTGGCGCACAATATCATTCTCTGCCACATAACATGAAGTAAAATAAATATATAGTTATTCTATTTAGACAAATTAGTAAACTGCTTGTGTTTACCTTTAGACTATGGTCTGGTACATTAAAAAATCCTCATGAGCATCAATTTTGTGAATTTATTGAAGGACTGGGCCTAGGACAATTAGTTGGTAGACAAGTATTAGCATCTCCCTGTCATGGTGAAATTCAAATTGGCCTTCATGATCAACACGGAATGCTCGAAGTAGAAATTATACGTGCAAGAAATTTACTACAAAAACCTCCATATAAAACTCCACCAGGTCTGTTTTTTGTCGTAGAGAAAAGATCACGAGTTTTATAATGAAATATCTGTTTTTTCAGCCCCTTATGCCAAAGTTTATCTGTTAGATGGTAAAACATGTGTGGAAAAACAACGGACAAGAACAACAAGACGAACATTAGATCCCCTTATTCAGCAACCACTTTTATTTAAAGAAAATTATAGGCAAAAAGTTTTACAGGTCGAGTATAATAGAATTTTGTTGAAAATCAATCTGACTATTTTGATTTAGAGATATGACTCGAACTCTAATAGCTTGTTCTTAAATTTAAGCGAGTTAAAAACAAAGTAGATCAAGCACCGTTTACCTATATGCTACTATATTCGACAAGTATTGATAATTTCTTTTTTAATTTAGATTAGTGTTTGGGGTGATTATGGAAAACTTGATCGAAAAGTTTTTATGGGTGTTTGCCAAATTAATTTGGATGATCTCAATCTTAGTGTTCATGTACTTGGCTGGTATAAACTATTTTCAGCTAATTCTTTAATGAGTAATTATACGGTCGTTCAACAAAAACGAAAAACCTCATTGAGTTCAAATGATAGTACTTATTCATTTGCATCACAAAGTACAATCAAATCTACAAAATCACTTTCATCTAGATTATAGTCATTTCTTGTGTTTTGGATCTTCTCTGTTTGATCCAATTAGTCATTTTTTTCTGAAACAAAAATACAAACAGACTGAGCGAACTGTTTAAGCCATAAGAAAATAGACATATTGTAAAGATAGAACAGTAATCGAAAAAAATCTTGGTTCTCAATTTTCGCTCATGGATTTTATTTATTTTTTTCTTTCTTCTGTATGCCATGTCGTGTTTTTTGTTTCTTTTTCTGTTTTATTTTTGGCTTTTAGAGATTACAATTCTCTTTTTATTTGTCTACTCATGTGTTTCTATTACTTTTTTTCTCTGTGTGATTATTCTCTCTGATTTTGCGCTTTTATTGCACTATATTGTTTTGCATTTTATTTTTTTTTCTCTCTTTGCAATATTATGCACCTGTAAGTTTTTTAAAATTAATCGTCATGTATAAAATAAACAGCGTTATAAGCAATTCACCAGTTGACAAATTATTTATTAAAGATTTTTCTCCATTTCTAACTAAAATAAATGATAGATACTGAAGACTTTATATTTCGTCGTAGAATTCTACAGCAAATGTAATATTGTTCTATGTCTTCGAAAAACGTTTTGGTTTTAATATATAACCTAAAATTTCTTTTTAAATCTCTATAAGCTATTCGTCAATCTTCTCTGTGATACTAAGGCTTTTGAAACATTCTGTCCCTTGTTTGTTCCCACCCGTTTTGATTTCAATCGATACAATTTATTATAATTAAACAAAGATGAGATGCTTTATTATTTGAAAATGTGTTACAAAACAAGAAAGAGTGAAACAGTTTTGTCACAAAAACAGTAACAGAAGTCGAATAGTTCTTGTCAACTGCCAGATCTAAGGTAAACGGCACGTTATTTCTCCCGAAAAGTTAGTCTCAATCGCCAAGAAAGATTCAGGAGTCTATGGCACATACGATAGTTTTACTTTTCAACCAGCATATGAAGATTTTGTATAAATAGATGGTGGATTCTTTGTACAACTTGGTAAAACACTCGGATAGATAGTTGGCTCAAAACAACTAGTTAAATACGAAAATATTTATTAATATGACACCGACTATATGTTTAAATTTGACAAATAAACACACAACACCACAAATAGGGAAATATTTGAGTGGCAAAATATCCGTAATTACCAACTGAATCATAGAATATTCCACTGCAAGCATCAAAACCGCTTGTAACTTGAGTTCCAGCTGAATTATAAGGACTATAAATAACTTGCCCATCTTTAGCTATACCAATGACTATTAACGTTTTGTAATTCGAATACATTCCTATGCTGTATACTGCTATATTCGTACTACAAGAACCTGAACATCCTGAAACTGATTTTGATGAATTTTCGTAGAAAGCACAACCCGATTCAATATGATAATGATAAATACCAGCTGCTTGGCAATATCCCAAACAATTACTTACTTGTTCAGCTGTAGATGTTGATGGATAAAATGGATCTTGATTATTGGCATTATTTACACTCATTATGGCAGCATCATCAACCGATACACTTGCTACTGTCGCCAAATTTGTTATTCCGTATAATGTGTAACTTATGTACTCCTTTAACTGGATATATTACAAACAACATTATCAAGCGCACTCTGAATGCTAACATTAACATTTGGTGAATTTACTGAAGCAGCTGGATTGAAATTGGCTGAATAATCAATATTCAGTTGACGTTGCTACTAAGCAAAGACAAATCAGAAAAACCGTGAAGCTGTCACACTTTTGACCGTTTTTATTTCTGGCGTCACGATTTTTCTTTGATTAATATGGATTAACTAGAAAGTTTCAAACTTGAAAAGCTATCACATCTTGCAGAGCAAACAATTTTTCTACAAACTGGTATACTTGTTCAATATTTACCTGCTCGCCTTCACTCTTTTAGATACGTTTTTCAGATAGCCGCCAGATCGATTTTTTAGGCTATTGGTACAGCAGCTGTATTTCCATAACGAATTAACGTTCAGAGGCGAGATACTTCATTTTGTAGAGAAATGTTTAATCTACTTAATTACCTAGTTGTAATTTTAGATTAGTTTGTAGCTTTATTGCAATAATTTTTTGAAAATGAGCGAAAAAAGGATAATTTTAGCTAAGCAAGCTGTAATGAGCAAAAACATTCATTCCACTTTGTAAGATCAGAAACCCTGTCTGAATGCCATACAAATTAACATAGATATTTTTATATAAATAATAATTACATTTTCGGACAATTTTTGTGGCCCTCATTATGTTGTATGAACGAAAATAATTCCCGATTAGCATCTTTCTTCTCTTTTGTTCTATTAACCTGTAATATGTATATAGCGAGATTGTTACTCAATTTTTTGTTATTCCTGAAAATGATAAGTGTATCTCATCGAAAGGTCGAACAGATCAATAAAGTGATTTTTATATAAAATCTATAATGATATTCGTAGCAGTTTTATACTCGATAATTTCTAAATTGTTATCTATTGCTTTACCTCTGAATAATGTAAAAACAAAATACTTAAAAATTTTAAAATATTCTTTAGTAGAAAAAATGTTTTTTCATAGCTTTACGACAATGAAAGAGATTAGTTTTGCATTAACTCCAAAGCTTTTGACACACCTGTAAAAGTTTAGCTCCGATCGAATGTTTGGTTGTCGAGATACGATTGTGATAGACGGACCGCAGTTTCAGTTTTTTATTTATAGTTTCAGTCCGATGGCTGAATCATTTTCTTCTGAGTTTCTCAGACCCTAAAAGGATCTCAGACGCTGTCGAAACAATTATCCGGTGGTGAAAATGGTGCATTGAAATCATGGAATTACATCTAACTTTGTAGAGTGAACACTGGTCTGAAACTAAGTTGGAATTTTAATGACAAAAAAGAAACAGATCAGTTGATTATGAGCGGTCGTAAAGTTAACTGAACTTTACAGTTGCTGTGGATGCGTTGAAGGTGTCGCTGTTTATCAAAACTGTAACTGAAGAGACTTTTATCATCTGACTCGGCTTCTTCCGAATAAAAACTGGCTATTTGAAACTTGTTTTTGTTGAAATTCTTACGTATTTAAAAATTTTACTACTTACACAAAATCAGCCATCATCTTGTGATGTACTCATTCTTCTCAATTACTGCTGAAACGTGGCTGATGTTTTCATCATTCTGTTAGGAAGTATAAACTAAATCTCATATCAGCTGTCATCTTTCAATATACATATTCTTATCGTCACTCGATGGTTATTTTCCCTTTCTGTTCTTCTGATATATGTATTCACTCTTCTGCTTTTTAT